AGGTCCAGCTGTCTTCGACCAGGGCCAGGGCCTTTTCGGTGGAACTCTTTGCCAAACAACATCAGGGCCCTGCGGGATCTGATGCAATCCTGCAGGACCTGAAAGGCAGAGATGTTCCGCCAGGCTTTTAGTTGAAGGCAGCCACAGTTAAGACTGGCACCATCCTTTTTCTTCCCGTGACACCCACATCCCCTGCCCTGCCCTGATGGGCAGACAGCACTGTCGAGCAATTAAGCTCATCAATGGTCTACATATGAAAGTGAAAGCATTCAAGCGCACACAGAAAGAATAAAATAAAACATTGGCAGCTTGCTGACAACAGTGTGCCATCAATAGGTGACTTTTGGCCCTCAATCAGTTTTCTAAACATCCTTCGGAGGTTTCCCCCTCCAATATGTCCTCGGAAGAATGCTGAGATCAGCTGATAACAACCTGCTGGTGATCCCTGGCCCTAGGGAGGTCCGGCTGTCCTCGACCAGGGCCAGGGCCTTTTCGGTGGAACTCTTTGCCGAACAACATCAGGGTCCTGTGGGATCTGATGCAATCCCGCAGGACCTGAAAGGTAGAGATGTTCCGCCAGGCTTTGAGTTGAGGGCAGCCACAGTTAAGACTGGCACCCTCCTTTTTCTTCCTGTGACCCCCACATCCCCTGCCCTGATGCGCAGAGACAGCACTGTCCCCGGCAAAAGGGATTTATGTCGCCATCTGGACTGGTTCACTTATTGCCGCGTTGTGACCATTTTATGCCGGGTGTACTTCAATTGCTTGTAAGGTTGCAGATCGCCCAGAGCCTGCTTGTGAGGTTGGGTGATTCATAAATTTAATCAAATAAATAGATTAAATAAATAGATATAACCAGTTACGGAGGGTAGCTGTGTTGGACTGCAGAAGAACAGTGAGATTTGAGTCCAATAGCACCTTAGAGACCAACAAGAAGAAGAGGAGGAGGAGGGGATTGGATTTATACCCCGCCCTTCACTACCCAAAGGTGTCTCAGAGCGGCGTACAAACTCCTTTCCCTTCCCCTCCCCACAACAGACACCCTGTGAGGTAGGTGGGGCTGAGAGAACTTTTTCCAGAACTGTCCTGGATAGAACAGCTCTGACAAAACTATGGCTTGCCCAAGGTCATCCAGCTGGTGCAAGTGGAGGAGTGGGGGAATCAAACCCGGTTCTCCCAGATTAGAGTCCGCGCACTTAACCCCTACACAAAACGGTTGCTTCCTTTCTCTTGGGAGAGAAACCCTGGGGGCAGTTTTGGCAATACCCCTACAATGCCTATATGCAGTGAGTTTGTTTTACTTTTTCAAAATATTGTTGGTACCCATAGAGCACCGATTTCCACCAATTCCCCTCCAGAGGAATTTGGAGAGAGCCCCCCCCCCTCAATGTGCTGGTACTCAGCATATGACGTGGACAGCCCAGGCTAGCCCGATCACATCAGATCTTGGAAGCTAAGCAGGGTCAGCCTTGCTCAGTATTTAGAGGGAAGAACAGCTCAGACAGAGCTATGGCTCGCCCAAGGTCATCCAGCAGGTGCAAGTGGAGGAGTGGGGAATCAAACCCGGTTCCCCCAGATTAGAGTCCGCGCACTTAACCACGACACCAAACTGGCTTGCTGGGTATCAGTGAAAAACAGTCTCAGCGTATTCAGTTAAAAAAAAAAATCATTTTCAAGGTGGGCCGTGTCTTCACAACCATTCTCCTCCAGGTAGCAGAAGCTTGCTCTGCCGCAGTTCCTCTGCCGGTAGAAGATGGGGTGATTTTGTCCAGCGCAGCCTCTATGCCAGAGGGGGGCCCCCACACCTTTTTGAGCCCGTGGGCACTTCTGGAATGCAGAGACAGGGTGGTGAGTGCAACCCCAACATGGCCACCGTGGGAGGAGGAGCCAGGCACACACACAGAGAGGAAGCCCACGGGCAGGGCAGAAGAAGCGTAACTCCAGAGGGTAATTTCACAGTGGGAAAGAGGAGTTAGAGACGGAAAGAGAGAGAACAAAACCGACACTGTGGAGGCAGCTGGCATTGAAACCTTTTTCTTTTTTTAAAACAAATCTGCACAGCCAATCAGATGCCCTGCTGGGCAAAAGCTCCGACTGGCCCCACCCACTTGTAAAAAAAGACCAGGAAAGGTGTTGGTGGGTGCCACTGTGCCCACGGGTACCATGTTGGAGACCCCCCCTCTATGCTATGTGGTATTTTGCTCATGTGGCTCCTCCCCCCGTACCCCCAGCCAGTTTGGTGTAGTGGTTAAGTGTGCGGAGTCTAATCCGGGAGAGCCGGGTTTGATTCCCCCATGCCTCCCCTTGCAGCTGCTGGTGTGACCTTGGGTCAGTTACAAGTTCTCTCAGAGCTATTCTCTCAAGGGCAGTCCTGGAAAGAGCTCTCTCAGCCCCGACTACCTCACAGGCTGTCTGTTGCGGGGAAGGGAAGGGAGATTGTAAGGCACTCTGAGACTCCTTCAGGTAGGGAAGGGTGGGGTATGAATCCAATCTCCTCCTCCTCCTCCTCCATTTGGAGGCCCTTGAGAGGAAGCAGGAAAGATCCATTTGTGTGAGCCCTCTTGCACTCAGGGAAGCCAAGCCACCCCCCCCCCCCAATTACATCTTTCCCTTCTGTTCTTCCTGGAGAAACCAAGAGTGGCTCACAGAAAGCTTCCACAAGGCTACGGCGTCAGCGACTCCCTGACCATATTGCCATTCCACTGTTACTCATAGGGTGCGTTCAGACGGGGCATTTGCAACGGTATAGGTGCCGGTTGGAATCGGTGTACTTACCGGCGTTCACACGGCGAACATCTGCCTTCCGTCCCTAACCGTTGTAAAGAGCTTTAAACCGTTGTATTCTGCCACTAGGTCCCCAAGTGGTGGTATCCTGAGTGCAACGGTTGTCGCTTTACCCCCCGTCTGATCGCTCTCCACCGTTGTAGAGCCAATTCTGTTCGGAAGCCTGAGGCTTCCGATTTTCGCCTGCCATTTTTTTTAGGTCGGCGAGATGCGCTTGGGCGAGGCCTTGCCCCGGCGTTTGTTTGTTTTTTTCAAAGAAAAGGTCCTTAGTTTAACGTTTAAGAGAAGTCCGGGACCTCAGTGAGGCCAGTTTGCTCTTTAAATTTAAAGGTAAGTCCTCTCTTCAGGGCATGCTTTTCGGGACGGGGTGTTTTGCGCATGCGCGAAGATCGCCATTCTGTGGATGGCTGCCAATGCGCATGCGCAAACTGAGTAAAAAAAACCCAACAAACCGCCGACGCCCGCTGTGTGTGAACGGGCATACAGCGATGGGCTCCGCAGACAGGAGGTAAGTGTGATCGCGTTTCAGCCGGCGTAAACTGCATCGGTTCCAACCGGTACAGTTTATGCCGGCTGAAACACCCCGTCTGAACGCACCCATAGTGATATGGGTAGAGTGGGGGGACGACTCACAGGAAACCTAACCCACCTCCTGACAATTAACGCCAACTCAACAGAGGGCTGTGATCTATCACGCAGAATCAAAGGAGAGGAGATCCGCTGGGAGATCGACAAAGAACCGGCAGGGTGCCTGTTAGGTATTCACCTCCCCCCAATACTACGTGGCCCTAGTTAGAATTGGTAATTTGCAATGTAAACCGCTCAGAGAACCTTCGGGATTAGAGCGGTATAAGAAATCGAAAGTATAAATAAATAAATAAAATATAAATAACTTGCGATGGATTGGTGTGGATGATTCATCGTCACGCGTTCCCCCCCCCCAAACTGGTAATTAATTTTTAATCTTCCAGAGTCAAGAACGTTTCCCCCTCCCCTTCCCACACAAAAGACACACTTCTTCCCCGTCTTTCCCTTTCGAAAGAAAAACAAGTTTCAAGACGGATAGGGGCATTACAACGGCAACGACACGCCAACTCAACAGAGGGCTGTGATCTATCGCGCCGTGGAATGGTCTCCTTTACATTCCGCGGTGTTGATTTACAGCGCAACTTGTGTGTTTGCTGGCAAATGGCCGATCATACTC